AAATAATATGTGTAGATGAACGCTATTACACTCGCGGTTCTCACTTGCAGCGCCAGCGTCATAAGTGGGCGTGTAAGCTGCATGGTGGGCGCGTGTTTCGTGCCCGCCCACGAACTCGTCCAGGACCCATACTTTCAAAAAAGTTAAGAGATCGTAAGTTCATCAGCCAATCATTGACGGCCTTTCAAGCAAAATCCACCAATCATAGACAAGAAAATAGAGCGTAAGTACTTACGTTCACTTAGCGAATTTTGAAAGTATGGCTCCAGGACAAATGCCAAACATTTGCCTTGAGTCGCGTGCGTCCTTCGGTTGACAGCTTCATTTATTTTTAGCTCCTATTGCGCTGCCGGCAAGGCTCTAGAATCTAGACTACTAACTGTGATCAGGCTATAGAAATGCTATTTTTAGGTGCGAGATTGAACTTATGAACTTCAAGGGTCTTTGATCATATGGCAGCCTGTGGTAGGTTGGAAAAAGGTGAATGCAGTAATGGTTTGAAAAAACATTGAATTTCATACTGTAAGTCTCAAACAAACTTTTGCCCTTTATGGTGTGTTAGTTTTCTTAACTAACTACTTATCGGGTATGAAAACCGTGTGAATATTTGACCCAGCTAAATTAGGATCCGCGAATAGTTCAAATCGAGGCGTTTACTGACGTAGAGAAGGATGTCCCCCTCTCGTGTAGTGGGTCCCAGCACGCGCTCGTAGCGTGCAGCTTTTTCCCCTCCATGCGCAGTTCGCTTACCCGGACCATGGCGTCTGAGGGGATTCTTCAGATCCCCTTATGTTGGCGTCACCGGATGTGAGCTTCGTCCTGCTGCTCGTTTTTTTTTTTCATTTTCAGAATGCAGAGGTGTTGGGCTGTATATAAAACCTTCTTTCTCTGGCCTCTAAACAAGTGTGCCTCCGACTTAGGACGTGAGCACGACCGATCTAGTGAAGGCTGTGGTGATGAGTGCAGTCCGCAATATCCTCATACCCAGAATAACGGACCACACACACACAGAATAACGGACCACATTGCAGTTATAGAACCGTACCAGTCATGTACACGAGGTTTCTTTCGTCTACTGGTGATCCTAAACTATAATTTCCAAGATATTTGATTCAAAAAGGAATTATTCTAGTTTACCTGAAGCACTTGTAACCAAAATCTTTCTTTGAAATCTATTTAGAGCTTTTCTTTTCGCCTATGGATAAAAAAGGCCTTACATTGTTTGCCCCCCACTTTTTTTGCGTTGATGTTTTCAAACTGCGTGTAGTTTTTCCTTAGCCTCATTCTCTCTTTGTTGAAAATCTTGTCAAGGTATGCGCGAAAACTCAGCGCTGCATGGTCTCACTGAACGAAACTTTGACCATCCGTTTGATGATGCTGTGCTCAGCACACTCGTCCTCAGTCCTGAATTTTGAATTATCTTTTTGTTCTGTATCCTTCCACACTGAGAACGTTCAATTGGAAGAGCCACGTTGCACGGCCAAAGTCAGTGTCAGTGTAGGCAGAATTGCATGCTACACTGTAATTGGCAGCCACGTTACACGGCCGTCAGTGTAATCAGAGTTGCATGTTGCACTGTTATGGGCTACAATGTTGAGCGGCCATAGTCACTGTCAGTGTTAATCAGAGTTGCATGTTGCACTGTTATGGGCTACAATGTTGCACGGCCATAGTCAAACTGTCCGTCTGACCACATGTTGTACTGTGAGGTGCGATCATATTGTACGGCCAAAGTCAGTGTCAGTGTAATAAAGAGTTACACCTGTGACCTGTCAGTGTCATCAGAGTTGCAATTCACACTGTGATGTGTAGCAACACCCTCACAACACTCCTACAGCTCATGCAACAAATGTCTGCCCACAGTGGAGCTGTGGCAGGTGTTGATCCCTGTATAGCAGCTCGGCATCTGCTATTCAATCTTCCTTTGACCTCCTGCTTCACCCCCAATCCTAATCAACATCACTTCAGCTCTTTCATTGAAACAGCTAAATTCTGAGAGAGCGAATGAATCCATAATTGAAGTTTTTTATTTAGTGTATTCCTAGTAATCCTCATAAACTTCAACGTTCTCAGATTGAACTCGGCATTTTCCTTTCATTTGTTGCATATGAATATTTATGTATTTGCTCGCTACGTTGCATTCTCTTGCATTAGAAATCGTCTGTTATGTTCGTGGCGATTCAGGCTGTCTTGGGCTTGGTTTTCACTGTGGTCCACTTTGCGATAACAGTCAAGATCGTCTCATTGTTCGGCTTCCTGATAATGGCTGCCCTTGGCTTGCGTTATGAAGAAGATATCGAGTATTGGTACAGGCCAGTGGGACTCTTGGTTGTACTCTTACATGAGTAGCTCCGCTGAAGGCCGTGAGAATATTGCTTTGCGTAGTCTCGAATGTTCGCAATTGAGATGAAATTTAATTTAAGACACTTCAAAATTAGAGGAGAATGAAGCATCAGACGAGTTGATTTTAAAAGCACAGTCCTGGAGACTGTGAATATTAAATATAGCTTTGCTCCTCCGACAGCATGTGCGCTGCATGGTAGCATGTGGTGCGAGAGTCATGCACGGTTGAGTGCTTGAGAACGTTGCTCTCAGCTGCTGCCGGTGTGAAGATGTGGCCGGAAACTGCACGTGCACTTCAGTCTGCCATTAATTAGTACCCTTAGAATTTCAATCATACATTCGGCACACTTATTATTATCTCCTGATTACGAGCACTTTTCTTGACCTTATTGTCATATATTCGTGGTCTAGTGCGCGACTGGCGTCGAATTTAGGCTATGCAGTTGACGCGTGTCACGAAATTTTCACAAATATGATGAAATTGGTAAAAATTAATTTTTTTCTCGTCTTTCCTCTAACTCCTCTAATTTTTCTTAATTTGATGTAGCCTAAAACTGAAATTTACGACCGGACTTGGCTACAAAACTTTCACCCGCGGATCCATATTTGTACATTTTTTTTGAAACCAGTTATTTCATTTGGATTCGTCATTCTAGCCACTAATTTTTGGTACTCCATTGGTATATTGAAACCTACAACATTGTTTCGCTGACACGCACTGACCTCGTTTCTTCCTAATGCATGGCAGTGACGGTTGTTACAGCTCTACGTATCATAATAATGTTGCTGTTATTTTGTTTTCAATCCCACAAGAAGGTCACCTAATGGCGTCATCCTGCTATTTTGTCAAGCTACGTAATAAGTTTGGACTTCTCATAAATATTTTCTCATTGCTCAGAGGGGAAATTCCTCGATTTTATCGTCAAGCATGGCGTACTAACACAGTGCAAACGTATCGTCTACTTAATTGACTTAGCTCGCTTATAATTCATAGCGCTTTTTGTTTATCACCATATTTTTATTTATATTGGCGCAACCAACAGTCATACCTTATCTCTTATGATAATATTCAAGTATAGTTTAGATACTGCTCGTTAATCGTTACGGGAGGCTACGTATTCTAAGTGAATCTACCATCCCCATTAGAGTAATTACCTTTTTATACAATATTTTGGAGTTTATTTCGAGTCGAACAATTTTAAATGTATGCAATAATATTTGTCGAACTTCTAGTACAAACTCAAGACTTTGAATCAAGCTAGGCTGCCATTTGTCTTCCAGTTAAGAATATGCGACTGATACTTATAAAGAAGTGGAGACAGCTCGCTCATTAGCTAGGCTGGCGCGACGTCCTTGAACTGCATGTGCGGAGCTCTATACATACTGCAGTGTTGTGCCTGTGGAAACGTTGCAGGCAGCAATTGTTGTTTTGGACTCTTCAGACGGCGACGACAGTGCAGCGTCGTCTCTACGACGCGTGTCAGTGCGTGGAGCGAGTGGCCGCGTACACTCATTCCTGCCGGGCGCTCCGTGCGCGCAGGCTAAGCTCTTGTGCTGCGGTATTTCTCATTGCCATCGAGTGCGGGTACTCACAACAAAAAGCAGGCCAAGTGCATGCAGTTGGTGTAATTCACGTGTGAGCTGTTGAGTAAAAGTTCCATGAGAAATGTCAGATTTTCCTTAGAAGTGAGCCTACGATCGGTGACACCTCAATGTGAAGTGTGGTTATGGACAGTTATTGGTATCGCGAGGCGGCGGACGGTAATTCAATCACATATTTGCACGAGCTTAACTTGCAATCCGTGGATAAATATTAACCATTTTGTTTAGAACATGGAATTGCTGGAACTTTGTGCTTCTAAATCCGACGCATATTTTTATTTTTATTCACTTGATATACAACGTCCCGTTTCTGCCATCATATGAAACATTATAACTGTTACTCTTCGATCAAACGAAAAATCTGTATTTGCGTGACTCTGCTAAGCAGTGATTGAAGCAGTATACGTTTTTATTCACTGTTGTTCTATAGTGTACGGTCTTTTGCATGGTGCCGGTCGTTGACATTCATGTATTTTTCGCTGGCGTCGCATGTACGAGTGATGGTGGCTTTTGCAATTGTGGTTTATCATTGCTTAAAAAACCTGCGTTGGCGCAGCTTGTGCTCATTTCCATCATAGTCCGGTGAATTATGTTGCTTTTCCCCACACACTGACTACAAATATCGTTATAATATCTCGTGTTATTTGTTACTAGTCATAAATCCAACAGTGTTTTTTTTTTAAATCTGTCACCTATTTTAACTTCAACCATTCAATTTTTATAGGTTAAAAAAAATTCTTATTCGACGTCTGACTTTTATGAGATGCGGAGGTTGAGTTGAGACGTACGTAGCAGGCATTGCATATGTAGAGTGCTCGTACGAGAAGAAGTAAGCTTTAGATTTTATCTAACGTACGGTATTTCTGCCTAAAGATGCAATGGTAGATCGTTTATGTTGCTCAATTATTCATTTCTGTATTTTTTGTGCCATCCATGTTGCATCGTTGCTATTTTGTATTGACATGCGTGTTGGATGTTTAGTTTGGCATGAATTCTTAAAAATCTACTTGTATATATAAGTGAGCGCAAATAAGTGATAAATGTAAGTGTTTGTGAATCTCTTCCATTCAAATCTTTTTCAGAATGGCTTGCCCTTGCAAGTCATTGTCAGATACACAAAAGTGCCAAGCTTCCGTAGTGATGCCCTCGATTTTCTTACCGTGAACTCTGAGTAGTGTGAGCTGTTCGGGTGTTAGTGCTGAAGCCATGGATGTCCGTTTCGACTCGACCAACCACGCTCCTGCGATGCCTAAAGTCTCCAATCGCGCCAATTCAGTCCCAATGCTGACAATGAGACCAGAGGATGAGCTTGGTGCTGATGTCGTGATCGACGTAGACGAAATGTATGCTCTCAAGTCCAAGACCGACTCTGACCCGGGCAAAGAGTCGTCGGTTACCGGCGCCTGGAAGCCGCAACGCAAACGAGGCGCCAGTCTCACCACCAGATCTGTCGGCACAAGTGTCCAAGTCGACGCTGATTTGCGTAAACCTAATTCAGTGGAACCGTTGAGAGTTTCCGCCACCTCATATCGTCGTTCACGACCGAACAGAGAAGATTTTACGAAACCTGCCCCACCGGACATGGTCTCGACGGCCACAAACACTGACGAAGATGACTTGGTCTCACCCCCGCCAACGCCTGAAGAGCTCCAATCTTTGGCTCCTGCAGTGAAAGATACCACTGCGGTTCTCCCCAAATCTGCCGCGATCGTCATCGAGGACTGCGACAGCAAGCTCGATGCTCACAACAAGCTAATTGCTAACTTGCTGCCTCTGCCCCAACACGTCAGAACCGAACAAGCTTACATGAAGAAAAATAAGAGCTGGGATCTACTCACCAGACTGCTTTCCCGGGTGAGTGTTTGATATCTCATCTCTAATCCATTGACTCAAGAATCTTTGTAAATGTTGCCTCGATACATGAAGCCGCTATTTTCATCCGTATTCATTCATAATTTGAGTAACGTTAGAGGACAAATTACGAAATATTCGAGCCAAATCGGCCTGGGTTGCTTCGGGTCAAAACAAAGGTCAAACTAATTTTTTGATATCATTTATTGAATCTCCGCTGACCAAATTATTTATTCATATATAAGCTGTGTTGAATACATTTTTGTCGAATATCTTGTAAACTTGAGAAGATTACATTGGGACGTAATGGACGTATATAAATTAGTAAAGTATTTTATTTACTGTTGGCGGTACAAAGGTAGTCCCCATGTGTGATGTCATGTGTGCCATTAACCCTCACGGCATGCGGTCCGGAGACGCGCCAGACGTGCGGCTGCGTGCGGTATTTCCTGTACAACTCAAACTCATTAGCCGCTCTCCGGACCTCGCTAGGTGGCGGTTATCCCGAATTCGATCTCAACCGTCGCCGTCGTGTTCAGTATGAGCAATGGAAGCGCTAGTATTTTGAATGCAACGATTGAGCTCATAAACCTTTGTTCCTGAACGGTGCCTTGAATTTGATTGCAACTTTTGCGCTGTTTGGCCGGGCGGAGTGAGTTTCTGTACGAATAATTGTTACTTTGGTGCGTAATGTTTGTATTTTAGTATCTTATACAGTGCGAATGTTTGAAAGGCATGGAAGTGGTCATATGGGACTGGACATATCGTGCAACTCGAGGCAGTTTTCGTGATAAATTATAGATACGAAGGTTGTGACATGGTATCAGTTAGAGTAACGTTGTGAGCGTGTTTGCTGTGAACATCTGTTTTGCAAGCAGCGATTTTTAGCGCATTTTCTCATTTATGAAAAAATGCACTATTGTGCTTACCATGTCCGTCCGTCCGTCTGTCCGTGGCCTCAAGTTTTCGTCGACGAGAAAATGCGCTCTCTGTCACTCACTGCAGTGAGTACTGAGTTATATTTTTTACCAAGTTGTTTCAGGTATTCCGGTTCCATCCGGAAATTTCTGGTGTTGCTGTGGCTCGGTCGACGGCTTTTATGTTGGCTCTCTCCTTCCTTTTCGCCTTGGCTGGTGCTTTGAAGCTATCGTTCATTCATGAGTCATGAGTCTTTGAAGCATTCATCCATTCATGAGTCATGTCTGTGGTGCACACGTGGCTTCTACTCTGCATGCGATGAATGAAAGTCATCATCAAATAACAGAGATAGCAAAAATCACATTATATAGCCTTTGTTAATGCGATTTTTAAGAGCTATTACTGTAGCTCTCAACACTTCCGATTTCAATGCTCCACGTGTTCCAATGCTATTCCTACCTGAATTGCAAATTCATCGCACGGTAGCTGCTCATCTGCGCTACGTGCGACCTCGCTAAGCCGAGGCACGGCACGACTTTTCAAAGCAGCAGAGTTAGATCAATATATATTTTTATAGCGATCATTCGTTGACTTCCTCGACCCTTCCTTCCTGACGTTCATGGCCCCGTCTATCTTCTTCACGTTCTCGATTTTTTTTTCTGTTCTTCGAGCGATTATTTTTAGAATCAAGTGCCTGAATCATAATTTTTTTCGGTATAGTGCATGCAATTCATCTTGTCCATTACATGATTGTGAACCTTTGCTGAATGAAAAAGCTTCCAGAATTTGCAATGGTCAAGTCGAAATAAGGAGTTCTTTTTCTTCCCGAGTCCGCATTATTATAAATAGTTATGGGTTCGTAACTCCGTTGGCCAATCCCCTGCGGCTAAAAGCTAAACCCACCAATCATTGACGAGAAATCGGCTGCTACTTGTAATTTTGCCGCTACGTGTACTTAAGCAATTGTTAATAGCAGGGCCCCGATCAGCATTGCTTAAACTTATTTATTTAGCAGGGTTTAGCTCCACACATCGCTTCCGAGCAGCGACGATGTCCGCTGTTATTATTTTAGATTTTTGTCATGCTGTGGATTACGGGTTCAGCTTAAACAAAATTTGTGACTGTTGAACAAGTTTTCATATATTAGATATTCTCTTCATAAAGTACTGTAGCTTTTTCTCTCTAATGTTCCTTTTCTATGATTTAAAATTGACGTTTTGAGTGCTCTGAAAAAAAAAATAAAACGAATTAAAGGCGGCTGCCCCGCAATTTGAGTTACATGATAGAGGCGTTCTCGTTTCTACAGAACTTGTATTTCTGTATTCTGTACTTGTATTTTACTGTACTGTACTGTACTGTACTGTACTTGTATTTTTGTATTTGCAAGGCCCGCGATGCGATTTGCTTCGTTGATTTGAATACTCGGAAAGTAGAAGGGCAAATATATTGCCCTGACGTTGAAATCCTCTTATAATGAAATTTACAAATTTTGTATTTTTAAGAGGTTTTTGATCAATAAATCGTTTAATAATTGACACTCAATATTCTCATTCGTTTTTTATTAGCCGGTCATTACCTCGAGATAAATTTTGTATTCATAATTATAACGATTCACATTTCTTCTAGAAAATAAAGAGTGGAAAATTATAAAGATTGATCGCTTAGCCCGTAAATTTTAAATAATTTAATATAATCGATTCCTGACTGGATGCAAAATTTGAAGGCGGTAATTCAAATGTGGAGGGAATGTTAAAATCTAAGAATTGAGTGTTTTCATTCCCAAAAAGGCAAACGGGGTTACGAGTGCGCGTTCTCGTTAGAGCTTCCTGCGATCCCACGGCATTCTTGAAGGCGCTCAAGGGATGATATACGATTTCTTGTTAAATTTTTTACCACTTTAAAATTGCCAGGCTGTGTGCTTGTGGATGCGAAGGAGCTCTGCTAATTGAATTTCTTGTATACAGGAAACTTCGTTGTGGACCAATGGAAATGTGGCAAAACTTCCTTGTATACACTAAGCAGAAGCTTGTCATGAAATGCGCTTTTGACACAATGCATCTAAAAATTATTTATTAGCAACGCAAGAACTCTTAAATACAGCTAGATAAAGTAACGCTCATGGAAGTCTCCTAATATGATCTTTCAGCGAGAATCTCATCAACGTGTGTCGGTCGAACGCTTCACGCTTTTTTGTGTAGTCAACCACATTCCTCGAGACGAAATTCTTGGCTATCCTGCATCTATATATGCAATAAACGTATAGCCTTAATTTCTTATACCGTGTTTGTGGGACTATTGGTCAGACTCAGTAGATGCATCCTCGTAGCTGGGCTCGGTTATGTTTTTTATGTATTCTTAAGCCTTCATTTGTGTTTTTCAATTCCGCGTCTTGGGTTTAATTATTTTTTATTAGTATGGGACTATTAGAAGCTGCCTATCTAGCGACATATTTCAAACGTCACCACTCGCGCCCCGCGAAAGTGTCTCCGTAAACTGGTTATATGCAGGCTGACTGCATGCCAGCAGCGCCTCAATTGGTAGACTAGCTGCATGTTCTACGAATATCCAGCTGCCGTTTCATGGTCCGGTTAACTGGTTTTCCGGGGCTGCCCCCTCCCTTTACCTGGAGTTACAAGCCCTGCCTCTCGGGCTGTACTGCTTTTTAAGATCGCGTATTTTTTCTTACTGGAAGTAATTGATCGGCGAACTCGCCTACAGCTCGCACAGAATTACCCGGAAAGGTCATTGAACTACTACTATTTTAATTCCTCCATCAACTATTTAGCGTTTGATTAATATGTTACCCATATGTAAATATGTAGCCATGTTCCATGGCATATGGCATACAGCGCTTTGAATGAACCGTCTTGTGTGCTTTAGTTTGCTCTGGTGTGCTCTTATGCGCACACCACATGTGATCTGGTCACATACTATCACATGCTCACATGAGCTATCACGTGCTCACATGAGCTATCACGTGCTCACATGAGCTATCACGTGCTCACATGAGCTATCACGTGCTCACATGAGCTATCACGTGCTCACGTGAGCTATCATGTGCTCACATAAACCTATCACGTGCTCACGTGAACTCTCTTACGCTTACGTGGACTTTTTCGTGCTCATATGGACTTTTTGTTGTCACATGGAATCTTTTGCGCTCAGTTGAGCTCTAACTAACGTACTCGACTGAATTCTTGCGTACTCACATGTACTCCCATGAGAGGACTCCGTCCCCGCGTGGGACAGTAGTGCCGGCCTGTAAAACTTCCAAAACTAATCATCACGATCTACCGTGCTATATGGGGTGAGTATACAGGCGCTGATAGCGATAAAATGACTCGGTAACTATTTACACAAGGCCAGTAGCATGGCGATTAGTGGCGGTTAGCATTTCAAAGTTTTTCTAGCCGCTAGTATACTGGCCACTTGGCGCAGGATATATAGAGTCGCAATGGTTGCATGGAAAGTGTCTTGTATTATTAAAGCTCCTGTCATAGGTTGTCGTCGAAAATGGCTCTGGATGGCTGGAAACAATCTTCAATTAAGCGCTATTGATGCATCAAAACACGTTACAGATGTTTAACCATTCGTTTGTAGGCGTCTGTACCTGTCTAGGTTCCTGCCGTTTTGTTTCTCTCCTAACTATAGGGAAATGTAATGTGTGGGCATGTCCAAGCTACCGTAACTGTTGCGCTTGCCTGCTAGATAACGTCCGTGGCCACCTCTATGCCCAGCCTTTAATCGTCTGTTAATTGCGGTTTTGCGACTTAAGTTCGGCACTGATGGCCTAGTTCGACCTGTTTGCGAAGGCGCATGCGCAGAACGGCCAAGGCCACGGCAAGAATTACGTGCGTGTTCATGAAAATCTTTTTCATGAGCATTTTTCTTTTTTATTCTTTTTATATACGTGCTCACGCGAAATCTTATAAGCTCACGTGGACTCTTTCGTGCTCACATTTGAGGACATTAAGACTCCTTTTTACACGTGCTACTTAGGCCTACACATACTAAATTTTTCACGCGAGTTCAATCAATTTAAGCCTCGAGTTAGCCGCACGTACGATAAGTTGCATAGCATCAGC